TCTCCAAATTGGTGTTATTCCAACCATTTCCCGAATGTGATCATTTATAATTCTATCCTTTGTAGTCTTACCACACATCCATCTCAACATTCTCATTTCCACCATAATAAATGAAGAACTCAAAAGTCATCTTTCAACTTGTAGATGATCGCTCCACGGCCCACACGGTTTTGATCTTAAGTTTTACCCAAAATACCTCATACCAATTAGAGTGTACAAATCCTACATATATAGTACTTCCCCTTTCCACACCCAGGCGATATGGTTTGTGCACCTGTAGCTCGCCCAGTGTTGTAGTCTACCAATGCCTTTCGCACTCGCCCACGGCACACCTACTCACAAGGTCGCCATAATCACCTCTCCTTGGGGACCAACATCCTTATTGGCCACACTTCCGGCTGGGCTCTAATACCACTTGTAACGACCCATTCCACCACATGGTATGATATTATTCGCTTTAGGCCCAAGCCCGCACAGTTTTGCTTTTAAGTTTTACCCCAAAAGGCCTTATACCAATTAGAGTGTACAAATCCTACATATATAGCACTTCCCCTTTCCATACCCAGGCGATGTAGGATTGCGCACCTGTAGCTCACCTAGTGTGGTAACCTGCCAGTGCCTGGCACACCCGCCCACAAGGTCGCCACACATCCACCTTCCCACACCCCTTTCACAACAACAATCAAGCCTTTTCCTAATTATTTAGGGTCAACTACACGAATCCCATGTTTCCATTCCGCTCTAATTCTTTTTCTTTTCTTTTTTTCTTTTTTTTTTAATAAGTAAAAAGTATATTAGAAAAGCATTCAAAAGGGGAACGCGTCCCTAATACAAAACGAAAAAAGGACCTAAGGACCAATAGCATCCAAAAGATCAAAGAAGTCATCAATCAAGGAGCATGCGCTTCCTCTTACATAACAGAAAAGAGAACGAAGAACATGAATTTTTAGATTTGCTAAAGACGATTCTTTGTCTTCAAAATTTCTGCTATTCCTCTCTCGCCATAAGTACCACCAAACGCAATGTGGAACAATCCTCCAATAATCACAAGCATGACCTTTAACTAGGCATCGTTTCCATGCATTAATCAGTTGTAAGGAGTGCTTAAGCATTACCCAATAAATGCCAAACATGCTAAATATGAAATTCCAACAATCGTACACCACAAGACAGTGCATAAGAATGTGATCCACGGATTCTCCGTCTGCTTTACATAGACAACACTAGTTAACAATGGTGTTACCTCTCTTTCTCAGATTATCCAATGTCAAAATCTTTCCCAATGTGGCAATCCAAAAGAAGAATGCGATTCTAAGAGGAGCTTTAGAACACCAAATAGACTTCCATGGGAAATCATGACCAACGAAATTGGACAAACACAAGAACATTGATCGGACACCATACCTACCATGGGTTAACGGGACCCACAAAATATCGTCAGACCCTCTGCCAATATCCTTCTGTCTATACAGCAAATCCAAAAAAACACATGCTTCCTCCATCTCTCAATCTTGAAAGAAACGCCTAAAACGCACATCCCACGTAACTCCACTGCTATCAAGATGATAACAATCAATTACGTAGGCGTGCTTATTATCAGTAATAATGTAAAGTCTAGGAAAGGAGAGAGACAACAACTGATCTCCGTACCATAAGTCCTCCCAAAATCGAACATGCCTACCATAATGAACCTAGAATCTAATATGTGAGGAGAAAACATCCCAACCCTTCCGAATGAATTTCCATACACCAACGCCTCCCATACCAGAGACTGGACGAGAGGAGCAGCCGCCACTCTCCTCTCCAAAGCGACACGAGACAACTCTTCGCCATTGGCGATGGCATTCCTTACCAAATCTCCATAACCAATTTCCCAAAAGAGCTCTATTAAAAAGGACCAGCTTACGAATGCCTAGACCGCTTAATTTCAACAGTTTGCAAACTTGTTGCCAATTAGCAAAATGATACTTAAACTCCTCTCCTCTTCTGCCCCATAGAAAATCCCTCGGAATTTTTTCAATTCTTTCAGCAACAGAGCATGGGATTTGAAACAAAGATAAAAAGTAGGTAGGAAGGGACGAGAGAGTACTCTTAATGAGTCCCCCCCCCCCCCCCCTCTATTTGAAAGATACTGTTTTTTCCAACCTGCTAATCTCTTCTCATATCTATTAATCACCGGTCCCAATTCCCCACTCTCATAGAGGAAACTCCCAAAGGCAATCCCAAATAAGGAAGAAGCGCCCACTCCACACCCAAGAACTGCAGCTAAGGAGGAAATATCTAGAACATCCCTCACTAGGACAAGCACACTCTTTCCAACATTAATCTCAAGTCCAGAAACCGCTTGGAAACAACAAGAATGCATTCAAAAATCTGAGTTGGGAGGCATCGGCATTGCAAAAAACCAAGGTGTCATCCACGAACAACAGATGGGAAATCTGCATCTGATGTTCAACATCTTTGCCAACTCTGAATCCCCTGATATAACCCAAATCTTCCGCTTTTCTCATTAATCTACTCAATCCCTCCATGACAATAAGGAATAGAAAAGACGATAATGGATCTCCTTGTTTCAAACCACGCGACTAGCAAAAAAACCAGCAAAGGAACCGTTCACGAGCACAGAGAACATAACGAACGAAATACAAGTTTCTATCCATTTTATCCACCTATCTCCGAACCCCATCCTCCGAAGCAAATAAAGAAGAAACTTCCAATTAACGTGATCATAGGCTTTCTCGATATCAAGCTTGCATAAAACGCCAGGAACCCCACTCTTCAATCTAGAATCAACACATCCCCCTGCGATAAGAGCAGAATCCAAGATCTGCCGTCCTCCAACAAAGGCATTGGCCGAAAGTCCTTAATATCAGACGCACCGCCCTCCTTAGGAATAAGGGCAATAAAAGATGCGTTCAATTATTTTTCAAATGTGCCATGAGAATAAAAATCCTGAAGCCGATCAATCCTATTTTCCTTTACTAACTCTACCCACTGTTAACTTTGGTCTTCCTCTTCCCCTAGTATTACCATCGATATGGACTATGTCACTTTTTCCTAACCGGCACACTTAAAGGTCTTCTTTACACATGTCCAAACAATCTTAACCTTTTTTTTCTCTCATTTTATCTCCAATTGGTGCTACTCCATCTCCCGAATGAGCCGAATCCCGAATGTGATCATTTCTAATTCTATCCTTTCTAGTCTTACCCCACATTCATCTCACCCTCCCATATAAATCAAATATTATTAGGGAATTATAATTTCAACTCAAACATCATCAAAAATAAAGCCTTCAACAAGACCCAGCAATGACAAAAAGAGTCCAACAATCTCTTCCGCTCCTCTGCCCACGCACAAGTTAAGACTAATGTCATATAAAGGACTATAGATGGCAAACACAAAATTAAGAAGGGAAAAACCAACAATCATGCTTTAGCGGCCATTTTTCTCTTTCAAACTTTCGAAAAACACACTTGATTTAGTTTGTTACAAAAAAAAAAAAAATACCCCAATAAGACAAGGAACAACTACAGATCTTTCGAGAGGAAGAAACTATCAAATTAGTTCTAGACAAAGTAGCTGATTTTAGGAACTTCAAAATGCTAAAAAACTTAAAAGAAGAAAAGAAAAGAAAAAATAGGATACAGATTTTTTTTTTTTTTTTGATAAGTAATAATTCATTAAAAAAAGCGTTAAAAATAGGATACAGATATGAAAGAGGTATCTTGCTCTAGATGACATATGAGAGGTTTCCATTCTTGTATTACAGAACTTTTCTGAAAAACTATCAACATTTTTTACTGGGTCTTTCCTACTGACATATTTACACTGCTTACAATACTGGATGGAAAATCACTTCCAGCCTAAGGCTAAAATACTGGTTCTTAAGTTGCACTAGATGCAGGTTAAAAGAACCATCTACTTTTACAAGATCCATGGACTGCTCTAGTCATTTATAAGAGACATTATTGTCAAACTGTAACCAAGTCTAGTTTTTCCCTGGGCTACACTAATGAGAACTTAATGCGTGACTCTAATCTAATTTTTTGTAACGGAAGGCAAAATTTTGACAAAACCATAGATAAGCTAAATCATCATTTTTTAAGGATTTTGACTCTAAATGATCACAACCAAGTTATTGCTGAACCATCATGCTTTCTTGCAGTTTCTTTAAGGAAATGTTTGCTGTGTAGAACTAGAATAGTGATTTTGGTAATCTTGAAAATTATTTTTCTAGTGAATCTTTTATCATCTCTAACACATGACGTTATGTGATAATGTCGACGATTGCTGACCCAATCATTAAGTTTAATTCAATTATTGCTAATTGACATCCTCCCACAAATTAAATGGATGTCTACGAAAAAGACATGAAGTTAATTTATAATAAAGTTAATTAAATAAAGACAGACGACATTATGGAAATAAAACCTTAAATACCTGAAACTGATCATCTGAACTCAAAAGGGATGGAAAAGGAGAACCAAAATCTAGATCAGCAAAACCACGGCTTATAGTTGAATCATGTGTCAGGACTCAGGATCACCCTAAGTTGATGACATACATTGAAAAGTTTGCATTCTATTATATGTAAATACACTCATCCGCGCCATTTCTTTCCCTTGATTGTATTATCAGATTTTCCAGGAACCATTCAAGATATTCAGTACTTCTTGCATCTCAGAAGCACAGATAGGGCTGATGGTCAAACAGTTGGTCCCGTGAACGGGCCCTTTAAGCATTTCAACGAATGGTCACTACCCAGTGCTCATCCAGACAATTTGGGGAGCTGAGATGGGTGGACCAAAGACAAACCTAAACTTTGGCTATATATAAGCATGGTGGCAAATCTCAAACTTGAATAGGAGTTTTCATGACCCATCAAAAGGAAGTCTTAACGGTTTCAAGCCTAAGATGTAGTACCATATCATCAAAAGTAACAGTAATAAATGTAACAGAATGGAATTCCAACAAAAAATAGTAATAAAAGTTAACACCTGGGCTCCTTGTCACCATATGCAAGTAGCATCAACGTTCCACCTTTGAAGTGAACAGAATCCAGCGTGACTGGAAGCGTTTTCTCAAAGCCTAAAGTCTGTCCTTCATCAACCTCTTCAACAAGTTCTGCAACAATATCTTCCACTTTCGGAACCATCTCCGACTTCAGCCTTTGAATAGGACCAGCAAGAAAGTGAGACAGTAGATCCCCTGTGTTTCTACGCAAAAAAAGGAAACTTGACTTCAGGCTCAAGGACCATCTGGGGATTAAATGGTGTATTGCAAGCAATGGCTCAAGCTTCATGGAAGTGGAACCTTGAGATGTATGGTCTCCTTTACTATCTGAAATATCATCAGGAGAGGCTGACAACTGGTCTCCTGATCTGCTGGACTCTTCTCTGTTATCCATGTGTCTACTTATGACATTAATTCCTTCCAGAACATCATCTTTTACATCACAAAGATTGGTTTTTGCTGCTCCTGCTACACCATCAACAGATGAAAAAATTTCACTGGAATTTGTAACTCCATCTACCCTACCTGAAGTCGTAAGAAATGGATCGTGTACGAAACTGAAACTATTGATATCATCATTCGAATGCTTCTTCAAAGGCTGGATTCCACAATTTTTCCCATGTGCAGGATCATTCTCTATGTTGTTCTCCAACTCTAAGATTCCATGACTAGTTGAATAATCAACAGCAGCTTTAAGTTTTCCATGCGCAGCATTTTCCTGGGCTTCAACATTAAGTGCCCTGTTATGATTATCAGCCATCATATGTTCTTTACAACTACTTGTTACAGAAGTGCAGGTATTACCATCACCCTCAGATTTCACCATAAGAGTATCAAGATTCATAGCATCGTAACCTACAGATGACTGAGTACACTCACCAAACCTCCTTTGCCCCAAGAAGTATGCTCGTGCCGCTGACGCACTACGATCAAGAATTCTTCTTTTGGCTGTAACACCAGCCAATTCAGATATATCTCTCCCATTAGCTTTCCTCTTGAATTTTTGCCTCAAAGGCCCAGGTATAATGCTAGACCATAATTTGCCCCCCGAGCTTGGAATTTTTACACCAAATGATTTCTCTAGATCTGCATGCTTCAAATCATACTCAATACCTGCATCCATGCAGTGGTGATCTCGCCAGTGCAGTCTCTCATCCATGGAGAAAAATGATTCGGAATTTGTCAACACTGTTGGACGGTTTGCACTTACCTTCTGAACATCAACCTCAGATGGACTTGAACCTTCCTCAGAAACAATGTAACCCATTTCTGCAGCTTCCCTAGCTGCATCATCTCTCTCTCTGGCACTGTGAGCAGCTGCTTCCTCCCTAGAAATCCTCCTGGTTTTTGTACGATGATCAATTCCTTCTTCCGTTGACAAATGCCTCTGCAGACTACCCTCAGAAAAGGGTATCCCTAACCAAGTATAGTTCTTCTTCTGCGCAACCAACAAACTTGGATTGGACAATACTGCATCGATCACAATCTTTCCCCTCCTCAAACTTGCAAAAGGAAGAACACGCAGTTTCACAGTGGGGACCTCACCACAGGAGAACTCTTCATTATGAGGCCCAATGGCACAAGATTCCAATGTAATGCTCAAAGGTGAAATTCCCCGAACTTTACCAAAATCAACCTCACGCTGAATATATTCACTCAGTACTGTACAGACAGAAGGCAAAAGCTTGGCTTCAACAAAACTTCTGGCTTTTGCCTGCCCATACCATACCAATAAGCACACCCCAGAAATCACGGCAAAGAAAACAGAGCACCTGAGTAAAAGGAGTCCCTCTTCCCACAGTGGAGCCAAAAACCTCACGAGGGTCTTGCTTCGAGAAAAGGGCTCTTTCACACATCTCACAATAAACCCACCTCTCAACCCTATGTTTTTCCATAAAAGCTCCGCATTTTTCCCAAAAAAATGTGAAAACCTGATCCCTTGAGAAACCCAATGATTATTCTTTCCACATGTACATTGGCGACAAGCCCTTTTCCGTAGTTTTACTCTGTCAATATAAACTAAATTGCCCTTATTTCTTCCATTTGCAAAGCTTTTTATTGGAAACCCCAGAAATGGGTTATGAAGTTTAATGCTCATTACTCCACCTCTACACCTTGACCCAATTGTCACTCACTTGCCGGGGACCAAGAACATGCTCTTAGTCCCCTCAGAATCAGAATATTAACTAGTTCCCAAACAATCAAAACCTAAGCAAGAATCATAACGAAAAATCTCTTATTAATTTTTATATATATATATAAAAAGTAGAAATTATACACATTATCAGTACTTTACAGTATATGTGGCAAAAATCACCAAAGGTTGTAGTCAAGTGATATCTCCTCTACGTGGAAGGTGAGGGATCAAATTCCCACGAGGGCAAATGGGTGTGAGTTTCTTGTCAGGGAGAAAAAAAAACACGTGGCAAAAGGATAGAAAGAGTGATTGCCCTCCTACTTTGAGATTTTCTTCATATTTCAAACCCTAGTGCTAACAGATATAAATACATAGACACACATGTATAAAGATATGATTACATAAACAAGTAACTACATGTATTTATACATATAATTAAACCTACAGTGCAAAAGCAAAAACCAGACACTATAGAAAGCTATACAATATGAATCTTTTAAGTACAAGATTGATTAATGAGATTTAAGAACAAGATTGATTAATGAGATGAATTTAAGAACTCGAACCTGCACAAATTGAATTCAACATTTGCCGAAAAGAAATAAAACGAAGTAAATCAGGACAAATCTTTCTGCGATTGCTTCGGGTTGTGTTTGTTCTTTGACTCCCTGGGTTTTCAAGAATCTAGAGAGAGAAAGTTGGAGCGAGACACTGTTCTGGAGAGAGAGAAAGCGGGAACACTTGCTTGGGTCGCTCGCCAATTTTGTTCCCACGAAGGAAGAGAAGAGCGGAATATTTTTTTGATTGTGGACATAAATGCCACTAAATAACACGTTATTTCACATTCGTAACCTTATCTGAGGAAACCCCGAGAATAATGTGGATCAATCATTGAGTGAAGTATTTTACGGAGTAACTTTTGATCAATAAAATGCGAAAGGTATCAAACAAAATCAAATGAAAAAAGACTTTTAGTAAAATATAAACTAAACAAAATTCTTATTATACTCCTCATGCATATTTGTATTAATCTGATATATCAATTAAAAAATCTCAATATTTAGTTAAATAAATTGAGTATTCCAATTCCAATATGCCTATTTTGAAGACAAGGATGTGAAATTAAATTCAAGAATAAGAAGGTCCTAACCATCTCTGTTTATGAAGTAGATCTTAAATGACTTAAAGTAAATTTGAATTTTAATATTATAATTTATATGTGAATTCAAATTTGAATTAGGAGATTCACATTTAACCATATAATTTAACCAATATTCAAATATAGTTTAATATATTGATTCAAGTGAAAACTCAATTAAAATTCAAACCATTTTATAATTATCCATGTGGATTCATATCTAGTTCAATTTTTTAAATTTGAATTTGGATTAAAAATTAAAATTCATGTCATTTAAAATAAGGGTAAATTACACTGACCTCCTCTGAGGTTTCGTCAATATATATAGACATTCCTTCTCGTTTGTCAAGTTACACCGACCTCCCTTAAAATTTGCATCTTTAGAACACCGAGTTCCCTTATGTTAAGGATTGTTAGTGATTAACTTAGTCAACAATGATGTAAGCATTCTTTTAAATTAAAAGTTCCAATGGTGCCCTTTTCATTACCCTTCTTGACAAATGGAAATACATCAATAAACTCCAACATTTATATTATGCTATTACCGCAGTTGTACCTGAAGCAAAAGTTTTATGCCTGCAACTCACCATTTAGTCTTTAGTTGCATCTTATTAGGTCTTGTTTGGAGAAGTTTACTATTAATTTGTTTTGGTAAGAAAATTTATTATTTACCAAATTCCTAAAATCAAAAAATAAATAAAATATTGAGATAGTTCCGCATAATAAAAAAAAAAATTTTTAAAATGACAGTGAATGTCAGAATATATATATATATATATATAGGGTAATGCTATTACAAGAGCTCTCACATAACAGCTGTTCATTCAGCACACATTGAGATATGTCTATAAAATATAATTAAAATATTAAAGAATGCATGGACAACAGAAAAGGCAGGAAAGGCAGAAAACTTTTATATCTGTTTCTCTCTCTTCCTTCACAGGGGTTATTTAATGCACGATCTTTCACATTCAATCTCTCTCTTGGGATTTCTTTTCTTTTATATTTTTTTTTATCATTTCTCTCTCTCTCTCTCTCTTTCTTAGTTCTCTCTCTAATTCTTCTCTCTTTTCTCTTTTACTCTCTTTGTTTTTTTAATGAGGAAGTTTGCTATGTAAATTCCGATCAAAGGGACGCTCCTCCATCCATTTTCTCATCCTCCGTTGATACTATTATACTAGATTTTGGTAAGTCAAAAAGGCAGAAAACACTCCTTCAGATGAGGAAAATGTTGGAATTTATATACCTTGACATAGCAAATTCCTATCTGAATTATAGTGACATATATTACTGACGTTTCTGAAATATTTGTGTTTTATACAATTGGTGAATTCAATATATTATGTTTCGATTCATTATAGAATTGATAGTGTCCACTTAATTACAAGATATATTTCTATATGTATGTGATGGTGATCAATACATGAATATAAATAATAATCATAAATTGTTCATAGTCGGTAATTATGGATTGACTCATAATTAATTAAGACTTAAACTGGATCCACGTTAGGTTGAGATATATTGCGAGAGCCGTCGTATGCAATTGCTCCCTATCACCGTCATGGCATTTGACTCTTAAGCATGAAAAAATTATAAACTTTTTTATTAATTAATAATTATTTTGATTTGTTCGACGGATTCTTCGGGATCCTTAGACCGACACTTTGGGTAGTTATGTAATTAATAGGTAGATGGTTATATTTTCAATATTTGCATCATTGCTACTTGTATTTATTTTGTATTGATATGGTTGATCACAAAGTAAATTCGAAGGCCTTCGTATGTTTTTAGATAAAATGATTTATTATATATTTATTTATTTAAATTATTATTTTTTGTCAAAACAAATGTTTTATTGTGATCGAACCAGAAATAATCAATGGTACAAAAATAAATATATTAATTAAGTAGTCGGATTGATGACTTTATTTATCCGACAACTAATTATGCATAGAGGGGTCAAAGTGCAACATTGACTTAGAGGTTATTTATTATTTAATTGGAGTTCAATTAATTTCTTTTAGTAGAGTAGAAATTAATTTATAAATTAATTGAATTGGGTCAATGGACCGAGCCACTTATTAATTCGTTGTAGCCAATAAAATAATAAGTCCAAAAGATTCTCACTCATAACCCAACTTAAGATTGGAATTCTATTAGATTTGAGACATGTGAATTAGAGATTGAGAAGGAATTGTTGTTTCCTTTTCTTTATTATGTTCCCTATAAATATACATGGTTTATGTATATTTTAGGGGTGATTTTTTGGAAGAAGGAAAAAGGAATATATTTTCTCTCTCTAGAAAATTAGGGTTAATATTCTCATCTAATGGAGGCTCCCACAAGCCTAGTTTTCCAAGGTTATTCATGGAGGCTTATAAGTGATTCCTAAAGGCAAAATAATTACTAAAAAGATGGAGATTCAAGGAGAAGGCATCTTGCTAAGGGATCTACAATAAGTGAGAACATTCACTTTAGAGAAAAGATTTAAAGGTTTACTCAGACTTTTGATGTAAGTATTCAATATGTTAATTGAAGATACATCATATTTTATTTTTGCATAAAACTTGTCTCTGTATGATGAATCAAGATCTGGGAATGAAAATCCCTCGAAAAGTTTTTAAAACTAGCATGTTTCCCAATAGTGATATCAGAGCATGGTTTGATTCATTACTAGAGATCATGTTTTTATCAATTTTCATCATTCATGGATCTAAAATTTATTCATATATATTTTTTATTGATGTATGTTGATGTATGATTTAATATATTGATATATATTGATACATGATGATATATGTATAATTGTGAATGAATGATGATGTATGGTTGGGCCATGGATGAAACTTATAGGTATATTGAATGTAATTTTATCTTTGGATGAATGTAATTAAGGCTTGGATTTAGCCGTTTGAAAGTTCAATAATGTAATTTAATTTTTTTCATTGTATTTTAAAGTGTAAATATTTTTTAAAGTCATGTAATATTTATTAAAGAATGCTATGAAGCTTCAAGAAGGTCCAAGAGGGTTAAATTAGGCTTCAAGAATTTTTTGGGATTTTTTAGCAATTTTCTAGAATTTTTCTGAAATTTTTAGGGCCTAAATTTGATTTATAAAAATTTTTATTAATTTTTCTGGAATTATCGGCGATTTTCCAGTGACCGGAGGCTCACCGGCAGCGAAAGGTACTGCCGAAAGACGACACGGGATCCGGTGTGACGCGATACACAACTAAACAATGCAACCTAATCCATAACCATTGGATTTAATCAAGGGTAGAGGAGGAATCCTATGTGGCGCAAAGGAAGGTGCAATCAGCACCAAGAATAGGCTTGGCGCGTGAGGAAAACGCGCCAGGAAGTGTAGAAAGTGAAGCATCACGCGCCAGCCTATGTGTTTTTTCTCTCCACGCGCATGGAGGCGCGTCCCACGCGTTGCAACGCGCCCCAGGTGCGTGGGGCCATGTGCCTTGCCCTGCTGCATGCTCCAGGCGCGTGCGAGCGTGGTGGGGCCCTCTAGGCACATTCCAAGCACTGTTTTGCTTCTCCAGACGCGTACCAGTTTCCTACAGGTATTTACAAGCCATTGAAGGACGCTTAGACAATACTTAGAGCAATTAAATGTTAAAAGCTGAATCCATTGGCCATTTAAATTACTTCTGTCTGTTATTTATTTATTTATCCGATGCATAGAATAATTAATTGTTTATTATTATTATTCATGCATTGGATCCATGATATTTATTTAAATGGCTTGATTTATATTAATTAAGTTATGAAAATTAATTGGATTTGATTACTAATTAATTAGAGGGCACTTATTGGGAAACGAAAAATTATTTTTGTAAATTATTTTAAAGTGTGCCTCCAATTAAATATTAGTGAATCATTTAAAAGTCCATTTATTTTCTAAATTTAATTGAATTAAAATCAATACGTTTTTCATGCATCATATCATGTAAATGAATAAATTTAAAACCCTAATTATGTATGATTAAAAATTGAGTGGGAGCGGGGGTTTTTTATACATTACTCCATGGCCTTCGTTATTTAAATCATTGTAATTAGATCTTCAAAAATAAGGCCCCATGTATGATTTGAAGAGTCTTAATATTACAAGAATAGTTGTCTCATGAAAATAAAAATATTAAATATTCATTGTAATTAGATCTTTAAAAATAAGGCCATACGCATGATTTAAAGAGTCTAAATGATAATGACAAGATATTTAATATTTTATTTTTCGTTAGAGCTTTAATAACGTTATACACTCAATCTAAAATCAATAGTGTTAGCTCCCCAACGGAGTGGTTTACATTAAGTGATTTTAGAAAGGTTAAACATAATCGGGAATCATTTTATATAAATAGACAAGGCATTGTCTTAAAAGATATGGAAATGATGGGATTTGAACGCCAATAGCAATAATAAACTTCGCCAACCGAATAAGTTATTGACGTATTGGTTATCCGATTTTTCATGCAGTGGTTAAGGGATCCACAGATATATTTTAATGGAAGTGATCACCTAATAGCAAATGAATCCCAACAATAGTAATAATGAACTCCTCAATCAGGATAAGTTATTGATGTATTGATTGTGTGATTTATTATGGTACGGAGTTGAGGGATCCGCATTAATTAAAAGG